CAGACAAAAGCAGGGGGGGGAACCTTTTTTGTGTCGGGGACCACTGACCCACAGAAAAATCAGTTGGGGGTCACACATGCATGAGAAGCAAAGTGAGAAGCCCCCCAACTGAGAAGGAGAAAGCCCTGCCCCACCTCCCCCTCGCACACCAGAGCATCAGGCTCCCATCATCCACCGCCATCTTGAATCGTCGCACCGGACGGCTCCCCCCCCCCCCCAGGGTCTGTCCTCGAGCTCCTGGGGCGTCTGAGCAGAGCTCGGAGCTGGCCACAAAACCCAGCGAAACCGGGACCCTCCCATGAGCTCTCGCTCCCGGCAGCTTTTCCCTCCAGAGCTCCCCCTCGCACACCAGAGCATCAGGCTCCCATCATCCACCGCCATCTTGAATCGTCGCACCGGACGGCTCCCCCCCCCCCCCAGGGTCTGTCCTCGAGCTCCTGGGGCGTCTGAGCAGAGCTCGGAGCTGGCCACAAAACCCAGCGAAACCGGGACCCTCCCATGAGCTCTCGCTCCCGGCAGCTTTTCCCTCCAGAGCGCGAGCCACCAGGGCTCCCCTCTCCAGCCCTCGCTGCAGGCGGCGCCACCGTGGCCCCAGGGCACGAGACACGCGGGTGAGGAACCAGCTTTTATTGGACCAGCTGCTGAGCTGACACGGACCGGACGAGCTCCCTGGCCCAGCCCGCTCGGGGCCGGTACTTACTGATGGCGATGTGGACCGACAGCACCGGGTGAGACACGGTCAGGGCCCAGATGTGCAGGCTGTGAAGGGCTTTCACCCCCTCCACGGAGAGCAGGGTCTCCTTCACGCTGGTGAAGTCCACCCCCTTGGGGGTGCCTGCAGGCGAGAGGCGCGTCGGGTCAGAACCGAGCCGCGGGCCGGTGGGGACGTGTCCCAGGTGTCCCGGCCGAGCGCCTTACCCTCCATCAGCACGAGGACGACGTCCCGCAGGATGGTCAGCGTGGTTCCCAGGACCAGGACGGAGAACAGGAAGGTGCAGACGGGGTCTATGTATTTGTACTCTGGCTGGGGGGCAGCTGTTACTCGTATGTTTCATTCAGCTCTCACAAAGGCCTCACGCCCAGGCGCCCCGCGATCGCCTGGCCCCCTCCCAAGCCGAGCCGCCGTGTTCCCTCTCGCAGTGGCACAGACCACAAGCTAAGCAGACGTTCCGCTCAGCCACCGCTTGGAGGGGAGACCTCCCGGGAGCATCCGGGTGCCGAATTCACCAGGTCGCTCTCTTGCCCCGCAGAAAGGGCCAGCCTGCCCCAGCTGGGCTGGCCAGGGTAGCTATGCCAGTGAATCCGCCTAGGGAGGACTCATTCCCTGAGTGAGGGGAGCTGACAGCATCTGTGGGCCCCTGGGCAAGGTGTGTGTGGGGGTCCAGCTCTGCACTCCTGGAATGGGAGGGCAGGGGCAAAGCCAAGGGGCAGAGCTGCAAGCAGCCAGTCCCCCGGAGTACAGCACGCCCTTTGCCCCAGCAGCCGGGAGCTCTGGGCCCCAGGGAACTGCCCCCTTTGTCCCCCTCCCCGGGGGGCAGGCCTGCCCTGAGAGCAGCACGCGCTTGTGGACACTACCGATGGAGCCGCAGCACTGCTCGGCGGCCTGGCCAGAGCGCGGCGCCGATGCCCCAGCCCCGCATCACTGGGCCTTGCGCTTCCGCTCGGAGGGGGAGCAGAGCCCGGGACGGCTCGTACCGCGCTGAGGCACCAGTGTCAGCATCTCAGCTGAGCTCGCGCTGGGAGAGCTGGGCCCCGCCCGTCACGATCGCACAGAATCCCTCTCCCTACGCGCCGCGCTCTGCCACGCCGCCGGGCAGCTGCTGCCTTCCGCTCCGCTCCAGCGTGGCCAGCACGCAAAACGCAATTTTCTTTTTCAAAAAATCCAAATATCAGCTGAGTTCCACCGCTCACGCCCCCGGCCAGCTGGGCGAGGCCCCCGGAAAGCGCGGCAGGGAGATGAAGTGACTCTCTCAAGGTCAGGGCAGGGATCAGCAGCAGAGCAGAGGAGCCCGCTCACCTGGCAGCGTTCCCAG